CAAAATAACAGTGCGCACGGTGTCTCAGAAACTGGACAGGGATGCGCCATGCATTAGGTTTCAATTTAGAGCGGTAATGGCATTTAGATGCAACATGTGAATCCATAATAATTTTCGTAGAATCAACACAGTTATGTGTCAGTGCTTGAGTCAACGAATCTGCTTCAATCAGCGGACTTTGAGGTAATAAATTGTTTGGTTTCCTCGAATGAGACTGGATGCGGGAATTGGTGCCCGAACTGTGAGCACACTCCACATCCCTGAGACACTGTAGGCGTGACTGCGTTCTTCATTCAGACAGGATGGATTATTCGTGGGACATTTCAGCATGGGATCATTGTCATCTTGCCTTTGTTGGATAAAATTGTCTCAAAATGAAAATATCTCAATAACAGCACAGCCGCCGCTACGTTGAAATGGACGATGTAGCCAAGGCTACCGCAGCTCAGGAATTCGCGGTATACTAGAGTCACAATCATAGAATTACGAGAGCGAAAACGTGATCGGCCAGGTTTTGATTGTGCCACACAAGGAGCCAATGATCTCCGGAAAGATATACCGGCTAGTGCCGTTAAACTCAGCCCCGTCCCCCTCACTTTTCAAGGGTTTCAGGAGCTAAGTAAGAAAAATTGTGGTTTCTCAAGCCTGGCTCTCCTGGTTCAAAACAGAAATCGCTTCCTATACGCAGTCACGCATACTGCATCTCAAGGAATTCAGAGTATTCGTAGGAGCTGCCTATGTCAATCTTCCACCTCTGTTATCCCATCACGTGTGGTTGTTTTTGGCGTCACTGCGCTCCGCTGATGCCCAACACTATTTCAAGGGATACAGAAATAGATACTTTTTTCTTGCTGTCTGGATAAGTCATTTGTCAGGTTTGTCTGGTCTGCAGGTCTGATGTGTCTGCAGTCACTCTATTTACAAATGCAAATGCACTTTACAAACGAAATGTTTTCTGTTGATGAGAGAAGAACATCAACGATTCCCCTCAAACCATGAGGTCCCACATTCAACGTAACAAAAAATGAAACAAAGTGAAATTACCGTAGCGAGCTGCTGCCACTTCGAATTCTCGTCCATAAGCTTTGATAGTCTCAACCGTGTCAAATAATCAAGGCATGAAATGTCGTCTGAAAATTAGCTGTCAGTTTAGGCTATTCTTCTCCGCGTGGATCCGACTCACCTTGAGACATTTTACTATGCCGAGCGCTTCTTCGAGATCTACTTCCAGAACTCGTTGACGGTTGGTCATCCGTGTATTCGCCATCGGAATCGTCGACAACGTCGCCTGATGCTGCTTCTCCTCGATCTGGAGATATATGAGCACTGTCACCACTGAAGTAACTTCGACAACTGTTTCGAGAATTCGTCGTTTTAAAAGTACACTGACCATATGATGGCTGTGATCTTGGCTGTTCGCCTGGCGGCTGTGCTCTGCTTGGAACGGATGAACGATGCGAAGGTGGAGTCACCACATCGGGAGGTGCAGTCATACTTCCACCGTGAAGGTTTGGTAACGACCTGCCGAAAAGCGCCGAGCGAGTTGTAGTGAGGTCAGATGGCACTGGTGGAGGTACCTCTTTCTCTGGCAACGCAACCCTGAAAGGATTGATAACTCCACGTCCAAATGTTTTTTCAAGCAATTAAAAGGAGGAAACGGTTTTGAGGTATTGATTAGCTCTAAGCGATGACGTGGTACCTTCATTCAGCAGCTGACACAGTCCATACAAAGAAAGAACTTGACATGATTTGTGGGTGGATCCCTTTCTCTCGTCTAAGGAATACGCGAAAAAGTACATGGCTGTTGGTTTCTCTCCTCCTCTACTCTATTGCCCACCAGGAGAAAACCTGATAGCTGAGATCCCTCCCGCCTGTACCACTAAGCGTTCTTCACCGTGCGTAGTGCATTACTTTACTAAAAAAATCCCCCAAGAACGGCTAAGAGTGCGACGCACCTGGTTCAGTCCCCACCCTTTCAAATTCCACCCGTAAAGCTGCGTTCATACTTTGCGGCAGCGTACGCTAGCGTTTCCAGCGTTCGGCAGCGGCAGTGACAAGGAAAGGATAGATATCGATCTAGCGTTTGCTAGCTTTCTCACATATGTTTGCCAACTTTTCACTAGCATTTGCCAGCGGCGAGGACAAGAGAGTATGGGAGAGTAGAGGAGTTGATGGGAGAGTAGGAGAGTAGGCTAACGGTTCGACTGGGCGTCGTGGTGGCGTATGCAATCGCATCGCACTGCTAGACAGTGCGATGCGGTTGCATACGCCCACGTACATTAAACTGGTGGATAATTAACGTTTACATTAAACTGGTG